CGGGTTTCTCTTTCCTCCTGCTGCACTATAATACCTTGTTACTGTCATTATGGACTGGTCTTAAACTGAGAGGGGTGGGTAATATTAGGGAGGGAGGTTGCAGAAACTCCTCTAGCTGAGAGGCGTGCCCCATAATGCAATCTGACCAAGTTTTTAGTACGTTTATTAACATTTATCACTGACTTTTTAAAGGTTTTCTTGTTTTAGCTTAGAATATATTTTTGTTTTAAAGTGTTTGCTTGCTAATTTAAGAAAATGTTCACGTTACGCATGTCCCTTTAACATTCATGATTCAAGATTACAAATGTGAGAGGTGAAAAGATAGATTTTAGATAACATATAAGGGTATCTTTCCTCCGCTGATTTATTCATGAATTGCTTTTTTATATATATCATAATGTTATGGCAAGAATATAAAACTTATAAAACTCATAATGTTATGGCAAGAATATAAAACTTAATTTACAAGAAAGGTTACAGTTAAAGGTGCTAGGACAACTCATAGTGTCCTCAGAACTGATTTTAATTTGTCATTCCAACTGCCTGCATCATATATGCAAATTATCTTACCATTAGGTTAAACTGAGGTCTTTCTTTCAGCAGATTAATATGATTAAAGAGTAATCACACCTACCTTAGGCATGTACTTTTTGTAATTGTAATCACACTTCAGTTTTTAAAAGTAATTTTTCTGACTATTCTGCAAGCTAGAGAGATTGTATATGCTAGTGAAATGTACGTGTCTAAAGGATGTAGCACTGAGTCAGGGTTATTTTAGTTGATAAACTGTTATTGCTGTTTGTTGAATCATATATAACATTTATTCCAACACAATCCCCCAGATATGTCATTCTTTGTTAGCTTTAAAACTCTCAAATGAAATAATTGATAGTTTTATTCATAAATAATAATGATAAACAAAAAATATAGTAGATAGTTCTTGTTAAACGCTGAGGGGGCCCATCGGGTGTCCCATGCACTTGGCCAGCCAATGGCCATGTGCTCAGGGCCATGGTTAGTACTACAGTCCTTTAACAGCAGGACTGGGCCCCTTCCATGATGTCAGCGCTGGGATGAAGTAACAGACGGTCACTTTCTCCCAGCTATCACAGAGATTGTGCAGAAGAGACAGAGGAGGGGAGAGCTTCTGACTCCCAACAGCCTTAGCCAGTACAATGGATCCCAGGGAAGCCATCCTCCTACATCATAAGGTAGAAAATATAAGGCATGAAAGACAAGGTAGGGTGGCTAAAAAAATTACATTTTGCATCTGTGTAGCTGTGTGTCAGTGGTTGTATTGTTGTGTCTGTGTATCCATGTGTCTGTGTATCTATCTGTGTGTCTGTATGTGTATCTGTATATGTGTGTCTCTATGTGTGTCTGTATATGAATCTGTGTATCTGTATGTGTATCTGTGTGTCTGTATGTGTGCCCAGTAAGTAGAGTGGAGTTGAAGCTTATGCATGCACAGTTTGTGACTCTGTTGATCAGTGCACACAGCGTGTTTCACTAAGCTATTGATAAACTGATAGCAGACAAAGTATGTTTACTCTCAGTTTACAGTATAGTTTCATTCATTTTATGTGATGGGTAAAACTGCTCTAAGATAAAATGTCTACCATTAGAAATGTTTGGTATAAGAGTATATTCCATGGACCAAAAACAGGCTTCTCATTGGAGGTTTATTCCTGATTAGGAAAGGAATGCACCAGTAGGCAGACCCACTAAACAGTGCATCTAATCCTTCCCTTCAATCTCCCTTCCATTGCTACATACAACCTATACTGAATAGAACATGCTTAAGAAAGAGTCTAGAGTTTGACACTGAGTCCATGGATGTGGTCCATAATGAGACAGAGCAGAGCAGAATGAGTAAGAACATCCTCAGTAACCTTTAGAACATCCAGAGGCATAATGACTATTAGACATGTGCAATTTGTTTTGTTCCGAATTTAAATTTGGACGAATTTTGGCAATTCGGACATTCAAATGCTTCCGAATGTCCGAATTGCCGAAGTGCCAAATTGCGTAATTTCGGAAGTGCCGAACTGAATTGCCGAAGTGCCAAATTTCGCAAGTGCCGAAGTGCTTCGGATTTCTGAAAAGTGGCAAAACAGGAGAGGGAGGGAAAATTAAGGGAATGATGACTTCCTCTAATACTACCCCTTACTCTACCTCTAAGCCTACCCCTAACCCTAACCCTAGAAGGGTTAGGAATAGGGTTAGGGGTAGAGTTAGGGGTAGGGTAAGGGTTAGGGGCAGGGTTAGGGGTAGGGTTAGGGTAAGGGGTAGGGTTAGTGGTAGGGATAAGGGTAGAGTTAGGGTTAGTGGTAGGGGTAGAGCTAGGGTTAGGGTAAGGGGTAGAGGTAGGTGCAGGGTTAGGGGTAGGATCGGGGGTAGGTGTGACGGAACGCTGGCACTCCGACTGAGTACCTCCGCCAATCGATGCTCCTAGCGCTTGCCGAGGACTCCAAGCACTCCAACCGACACCATCAGCACTGCAGACCCCACGTCCAGCGATGCAACTGCGCTGGGGTCTCTGCTGTCTCCACCCACCCTGGACCCAAGGCCAGGATCCAGCTTCCAGTGGGTGAACCTCTCTTTCCCCAGAGAGCAGGAACAGGAACAAGCTCTTAGCAGAACTTAGTGATCATACCCTGGGGAGTAAGTGATTATAGCAATCCCCAGAGTGTATTTCTCCAATCCCCCAAACATGAGCCAAGGCTTAATGCTGGAACAAGACTGATTTACTGGCACACAGAACTCACAATTTATGCAACACAAAACTCCTCCTCTGGGCCAGGCTAGATAATTGAGTTTCTACAATACACAAAGCTCAATTATCTGCTGGCCAGAAATAATACAGTTTCATAAAACACACAGGGACCCCAAAACATGCAATAACCCCATAAAAGTATATCCTTGGAACCGGGGGATCTGGGTGAACCACATATCCAAAATTCACCCAGATCCGTTCAGTACTTTGGAAAATACAGTTTAATGCAGATTCTGCAGAACATATAAAGGCTAAATGAAAAACAATCACTGTATAATGTGTCCCCTGCTGTATAGTCCAAAACCACTGCACGATGTCTCTGTGCACCAAATACTGGCGAGATGGCACCGTGTTGAAAAGTCCAAACAGTGTCTGTGAGTTAAAATGGCCGCCATCCATTGTTCTCACCATGTGATTCTGATACAGGAAATGGTGGCCACCCAGTAACTCCACAGTATGTCCCCACATGGTTCTTAAAGGGCCAGCAGCAGCACAACACAAATCCATTATGCCCAAATCATGTCTTTAAAGGGCAATACATCCCAGGGGCCATAGTCACAGGGCAAGAGGCGGGCAAGCAGTCCTCTCCAGGCACGAGTGGCGAAGGGCACTTCGTCACAGTAGGGTCGGGGGTAGTGTTGGGGGTAGGGTTAGGGGTAGGGTTGGGGAATTTCAAAAGTCTCGAATTCCAGAAGTGCCGAAGTCCCGAAGTGCCAAAGTTCGGAATTGCTGAAGACCCGAATTTCGGAAGTGCCGAACCGAAGTGCCGAATTGCAGAGGTCCCGAATTTCGGATGTCTGAACCAAACCAAAGTGCCAAATTGCCGAAGTCTTGAATTTCAGAAGTGCTGAACTGAACCAAATTTTTTGCCCATGCACATCCCTAATGATTGTCCTGTTTGTTTTTTTTAATTTAGCTTGTGTCTCTATTTATTTATTATTACTGGTATTTATAAAGCGCCAACAGATTCCGCAGCGCTGAATTCAGCAGTCTCTGAATTTTCATTCTTACATTTAACTGCCTTTGCCGCATTTGATCATGTAGCTAAACGTAAACTTCAGTTAGCGATATATCTCTCAGCCACACTATCTTTATAATTCAATCCGTGCATGCATGTCGCCGTCTTCATGTGCCAAAAAACACAAAGCACTGCTGATGGGAATGTAATGGGTCCCTATCCCGGACTGACAGTCACTAAAGTTACAACTACTTGTAATCAGGGCAGGTTCTCAAAAGTGGAGATAAAAATGAAGATGTGAAAATGTTACGCAACATCCATTTGGACACATTTTCATAATGCAATTTATTGAACTATTTTCATCATCCTACACTGAAAGAGAATATATGAATACATTTGTCAAAAGATCAATCCGGGTTCGTGTTATGAAAAAGATTTTAAATAATACACAAAGCTTAATAATAATGAATTGCCAATGATTATCTGAATAGATATCAATTATTCAATGGAACTTAGCTCTGTATATTGACACAAACTATCGACCTTCAACTTCAGATAAAAAAAACTATACAAAGTCATGGAATAACACCATTTCTGTGCTAAATTACTTTCAGGAGCATTATTTGGGGTATTTTATATAAAAAGAGAGCAAATTGCTAGCTCATTCTATTCTACACACAATTCTTGAACATAATGGGAAAAAAATGAGAAATGTAACATTTTATCTTGCTCTTTTCATTTCCTGAAACACCAGAATGCCAACATCGGACCTGAGAATTAACTCTTCCCTTATGAACTGTCAAAAATAATTCCGAACAATTAGACTCTGCATCTTTTTTCCCTACCGTCTATGTGAAAACCATTAATAATAGAATTTTTCGGGACAGTATAGTCACCAAAACAACTTGGCCCATCTTCGTGTCTTTTCTCCGAATCATTGTCCTAAATTTTGCATGGACAATATTTGGGCAAGGTGAACTTTTTTTTTTTTTTTTTACAAATTGGTTCAGCTGAACCATATTTTTCAGTCTACCACAACTCTCATCAGGCTGATCCACCATAACAAAGCTGCAGGTGGAATTCCTGACTGTTTTAGATGCATGTGCAGTGTGGCCTAGGAGGTGTAACAGGCAGGAGAGGCGGCCAATCTCCAGGCCTGAAGCGCCTTTAACCCACGCACAACACATTTGGTGCTTCGCTTCCTCCACCCTGGACCGGTGGGGGTGATCCCGAACCACACCCTTGAGGTCCCAGTGTTCCAGCAGAATGCAGGGCGTACCTCAGGAAGCAAGCCAGCACGGAATGTCAAACAAGATGGCGGTTGCCACATGTCAGCTTGGCGCTGACTCCATCTCCCAGCTTGAAAAGCTCTTCGCAGATATCTGGAGCAAGATCAGCAGGCAGCTACAACGCCAGGATTCACAGCGGCTACAAGCCCAATCACATTGGAACCACCTGCTGCACCTGAGGTGGAGGAAAGCGGCCCCAGATATAAGGTGCCCACTACCAAGACGGAGATGCCCGGGCCACTGGAAAATCAGGAAAACCAGACACAACTTACCAACGGGTCCATCTCAAAGCCATCATCGCCCAGGTCCACCCGTAGAGGCTAAATGGACCGGTGGGGCCATTGATGCCACAGTTAGTTCTATCTCCATGCTCCAGATTGATGTTCCAGTGGCCTCCACCTGGGACCTTGTGCCTGATGACCACCTTGCCGAAGCAAGCATATGATCTGCCCCAAAAAGGCATCAGCTGAAATGGGACTGTGACCTCTGTGGGTCTGCTCAAACTCCCTCAGCTGCGTACACAATGTATAGTTTTATTTTGCATTTCTTTTACATTTATCTTCTTCTCTTGCTTTCATTTTATGCAGCATTATATGTGGAATTTAGGGACTTTGTCGGGCTGCTATTCATTTCTAGTTAGTTCAGCCGCCCAGTTCTCGGGTAATCTGTGGCTTAAGCTCAATTTAACTATATCAAAGCTGGTCTTTGTTTCTTCGTTTCTTTAACATTTCTTTAAACTTCAGGGGGAAAAAAACTATACAAAGTCATGGAATAACACCATTTCTGTGCTAAATTACTTTCAGGAGCATTATTTTGGGTATTTTAGATAAATAGAGAGCAAATTGCTAGCTCATTCCATTCTACACACAATTCTTGAACATAATGGGAAACAAATGAGAAATGTAACATTTTATCTTGTCTTTTTTCATTTCCTGAAACACCAGAATGGAAACATTGGACCTGAGAATTAACTCTTCCCCTACGAACTGGCAAAAATAATTCCGAACAATTAGACTCTGCATCTTTTTCCCTGCAGTCTATGTGAAAACCATTAATAATAGAATTTATAGGGACACTATAATCACCAAAACAACTTGGTCCATCTTCGCGTCTTTCCTGGTTCATATTTCCTAAATATTTTGCATGGACAATATTTGGGCAATGTGAACTTTTTTTTTTATTTTTTACAAATTGGTTCAGCTGAACCAAATTTTTCAGTTTAATAATTAGACCCATAAACTGGAATGAGCAAAAACGGTGGGAGCATGAGACTAAAACAATGAACATTTGCTTAGGTTTTAAAGACTGGAATACTCGATCGTTCAATGACTCTTTTGAACTGGGAAGATGTCTTTAGAGAATAGGACAGAATTCTCAGTAAATGTGTTACTAAAACTTTTTTCTTGAATTACCAAAACACACGATGTAGACTGTGTTTTAATGCAGCCATATAACAAATCAGTTGGAATCAATGTAAAATCACCTTTTCATTACCAGGCGTGTGAGAACAGACTATGCAGGTATCCTATGTCAGGAATTTCCAAAAAGGAACCTGGAATTAGTCTACAACATAGGATGAAACTGGCCAAAATTGGCATTCAAATTAGTTTGTGGCATTTTTCACACACAAACAACTATTAATGCTAACTTTGGCCAGCGTTTGTGACCTAGTGGCTAATGAAAAAGACTGGACATAACTCTTTGCAATACCTTGGGTTGTCTGCTTTTGCAAATGGTATGCCATCATGGGGGTAATTCTCATTCCTGTGCTGCCATACGCTCTCAAAGGCAACGTAACCAATCTGACGAAATTCAATGTGAAAAAACTGAAAATGTAACGTGCTATATTTGACCCTGTAACGTCTAAAAACACCATAAAACCTGTACATAGGGGGTACTGTTTTACACGTGAGACTTTGCTGAATACAAATATGTGTATTGTATTGCAGTAAAAGCAAACAGTATTATGACACAGTTAAAATATCACATAGAAATAAAAATGTTTTAAAAATTTTTATTTTCTCCCATTTTTTTATATTTTATTTATATTACATTATGTTTCATACCTAAATATTTGATGTTAAATGAAAGCCCTGTTTCCCGTGAATAGAATTATATATAATAAGTGTGGGTGCACATAATATGAAAGAGGTGAATTATGCATGAACAGACATGTAGCACAAATCCAAGTTTTTGTTTATGTTTTTTGTACATTTGGGTCAGTCCTTAATGGATTAAATATGGCAATCCCAGATAAGGCTCTATTTCTAAACCACTGGAAGATTGCAGCATTCCACTCATCCGAATAAAAATTCTGAAATTAAAATATGGGATCAATACAAAACAGATCTGCCAATCAGTGAAATTCATTTGGACAAAACAAAATGTATTTTTGTCTGAATTTACTCGAACCGATCATTTCCACCATGCACAAGTCTAATATCATGGTACACCCTATGACTTGTACACTACATTCCCCATGAGGTCCCGTCATCTAAAAATATTTAAAACATGCAGAACCAAAACATTAACCAAAAATAGACATGACAAATATAATGGAATTTGACATCATTTGCATTTAGTGCAAATTAATAAAAATTGCCCCTTTAAAGATTGTGTTATGTTCGTTTATATATATTTTATCACGGCATACATTGTAAAGGTTAAATCCCAGTGTCTTCTGATTATGTTCAGCACTCGTACACATTGTGGCTAAGTTGTCAAATTCCTTTAGAAAATGAAAATGGCTATTGTATGCCTTGGGATATACAGCCGTCCTGCAACACACACAACAAACTCAAAAGGACAAATACTATTAGACTTGGTATTAGGTGTCAGCCAGTGTCAGCAAATGACCTGGGAGAAAAACACAACTTTAGATTTGTGACTAGTTCACTTGACTCCTGTGAGTAAAAAAAGGTGCAGATCATTAAATCATAAGTCCAAAGGGTTATATTTATCAATCAAAACTAGTGTTATTCTGGGGTAAAGTTCCAAATCCGTAGTGGTATTCTATAGGTTATTAAATGACAATAATACAAACTGCATGCACAGAAAATTACAGTGGCAAACTACTGGTATAAATGGTAATAATTCTATAATAACACATGATCATATGGTAGCAATGCAAGAATAAATGATATGGAATATCTACCAAGCTTCAGTCAGTACCTGAGGGTTGTTGGATTTGCTGCAGGATGTTAAATACAGAGCTTCACCGAGTATGAGTGTGAGATGAGGCGTGTGTGTGTGTGTGTGTGTGTGTGTGTGTGTGTGTGTGTGTGTGTTTGTGTGTGTGAGATATATGGCTACAAGCTGTGAAATATAGTTACAATAACATTATGAGATTAGACTATTTGGTAATTTCTAGTTAACAAACTGTGTATCCATTGCTTTATCTCAAAAGGCAAAACAGTGTGTGCATTAAATAAACTATATCAAGAAAGAATGTCAAAACACTAATTATGCAGAGCCAAAGAGAGAAATATCAGAAATAAATTAGCAATATTCTTAGTAAATATTGGCTGTTTTTATAACTGAAAACCAAAGAAAAAAGTTACCTGAGCTCTCTCCACATCCCTATGTATTTTTAAACAAATGGAGGCCTTTCGTTACCTCCAATGGCCATGAGAGGGTATGCTCACCTGCCACGTCAAGGCAGACCACTTAGGTGGCTCCTAACACTAACCATTCGCCTTGCTTCCTTGAGCTTCTGGTAAAAATATCTCTAATGAGACAGAAAGGGGTATTTTTTATATACATCCCTACATCCCCACCTAAGTGGTCTGCCTTGACGTGGCAGGTGGGCATACCCTCTCATGGCCATTGGAGGTAACTAAATAACCTTCATTTGTTTAAAAATACATAGGGATGTAGAGAGAGCGCAGGTAACTTTTTTTTCTTTGGTTTTTACTATATGTATTTTGGCTGATGTGTACTTTAGTCATTGCTGCCGACCAGGAGTAATGGGAGTTTGAACGCAGGACTAGTTTCTTTGTATTTGTTTTTATAACTGCTCAGCAAATTATATTTTCTTGTCTGTTTAGTGAATTTTGTTTATATTTTTTTGGTGAATAAAGTACAGTGTCAAGTCTAATGAATGAATGATATTCTGCTGTCTGGTGAATGCAACATTTCCTGTCTGGTAAATTAAATTACATTTTCCAATATGGCAACTGCGCGATAGCTTCCTGTCCGGTGGAAGAATAATGTCTGGCTGTCTTGTGAGTGAATGATATTGTACTGTCTAATGAATAAGAAATGTTCAGCTGTCTGGTAAATGAGAAATAGTCTCTTATTTGGTGATTGAATGATATACTGCTATCTGGTGAAACAAAAAGGGGAATGAGTACAACTTCCACACAATTCCTAAATTAATGGAATGGTGATATCTATAAATACATGACTGAATGGATGATATGTTTCTGTTTGGTAGCACCCAAAAAGTAAATTATGGATATTCTTCTGCTTAATATTCTCTGATCAAGTAAACAAATTATATTTTTCTGTTTGATAAGAATATTTTCCTTCCTGGTGATAAATGACAGTTGGTAGTCCAGTGAATAATAATAATAATAATAATAATTATTATTATTATTATTATTATTATTATGTCTGTTGAATTTTTAGCCTTGTATCTATTTTAAAAAACAAATATGAATACCGCACTCAAAAAAATTGTTGTAGTGAAGTCTAAACTTGTATTGAATTGCAAAAATATTTATTATAATAGTAATTCATAAGATAATCAAGTAGATCTTAGTGAAATTCATTCCAATCATATATACACATAGATTATTTACATATATACACACAAAAACCTCCCTGTGCTGAATTTCATAAGTTATATATCTATATACACTGGTTACTGATCCAAAAACTGAAAAAATGAAATGTCCAGAGAAAAATACTGAATGATGAAAAAACAGAAAAAGAAAAAATGGAAAAAAGAAAAAAAAAAAAAAAGGGAAAAAAAGGAAAAGAAAAAATGTATATATTCCAGTCCTATTAATAGTCCCAGATATAGTGCACTATATAATTCATATAATCCATAAGTATATGGATGGATCTCACCAAAAATACGAAAACTTGATAGTATATTCAGTAGGAGGATGGTAGATCATGTAGATGATGTAAATAGAGTCAGGGTGAAAATGTGTTGTAGCTCGATGAGAGAAGAAATCACTCGTCCATTCAATGGAATCCGGTCCGTCTGACAGGTCTTATCCCTGGGCTCATACTCGTAGGCAATCCTGTAATCGGGCTGAAATAGGCGGCTGAGATGGGCGGTATTCATATTTGTTTTTTGGATCTAGTTTAGGAGGTTGTTGTGGGGTTAAACCTCGAATACCTGCACCTAGCATAATTGAGTGCCAACACTGAATGTTTTTTTTCGTATCTATTTTAGCCACTTACATTCCACTGTCTCCTAAATAAATAGCACAC